CCTGGCAGGAAAAGCCATGAGATTCAAATCCCCAATTAACAGCCAGAAAACTGCAAGTGGCATGGTGGGAAAACAACAAGTACAACAACAACAACTAGTGAAGATCTGTCAATACTTTCCAGAAAAAAGATAGAGAGACCTGAGGACTCTGACTTTGGGGCTGTAGTTTTGGCAAAGCCCTTTAGTTCACCTGAGCTGCTTGCTGGGCCAATGGTGTCAAAGAAGCCGGGATCAGGCAGAGCAGGTCTGGAAGGAGTAGCCTCTCCCTCAGGACTGTGGCTGTGGGATCCAGACCTCCCCCTCTGCCAGGCTGTCAGCCTGTCCCCCACACCCACTCCTCCCCCATCCTGCCTGAGACACTGTGGCTGGAATCAAGAAACCACCTGCCTTGAGCCACTACCTTCAAAAGCCTCTCATTCCGTCCTAATGGGCCGAGGCGCCCAGGCTGCCCCACCCTCAGGGCGGAGCAGGCATCCGCCTCCTCTGTGGAGCTTAATGCACATCAAAAGAAGCTCTCTGTACCAAAATAGCTCTCGCAGGCCTTGCTGGGGCAGCCTGAAATTATACCAAGAGAGTTTTCTTTTAGGTGAGGGCATGGTGCTTCAAAGGCTCTTGCTCCAAATGCACCTGTGTGTTTCTGGGAGGGACGAGCGCTCCATCCTTCCCTGCCATTGTTTTCCGTGGGTTGCAACAGCTTCTTGTCTAGTGCCAGCTGGCTGAGGGGATTGGATTGTCTCTATGGAGGCCTGTGGGAATAGGGCGTGGGATGGTGGAGATTTGATCGTGGGTGATGGAGGGGGGGAGGAAGGGCACAGAGTGACCTGAAGACAGGGGGACAGCAGGGGCAGTTACAGGGTGAGGGTTGGGGGTTGAGAAGGATAAGACAGACAAACATACCCTTAGCAGGACCGGACACAGCGGTAGAGACCCAGGGTTCAGGAAGGAAGGCTACAGGGAATGATGGGAACTCCCCAGAAATGCCCTAAAATAGAAGAAGGTGGGGAGGGGGTGGAAGGGGAGAAGGGGTGCTGGTAGTTCACTGCTAGCTAATCAGGAGGCCGAGACCAGAGAGGATCATGGTTCAAAGTCAGCCCAAGCAGAAAAGTCTGTGAGACTCTTTTCCTAATTAAGAAGCAAAAGGTCAGAAGTGAAGCTGTGGCTCAAGTGGCAGAGCAGTAGCCTTAACTGGAAAAAAAAAAAAAAGTTCAGGAATAATGCCTAGGCTCTGTGTGCAAGCCCCAGGACTGGCACCAAAATGAATGAATGAATAAATAAATAAATACATAAATAAAAGGAAGCAGAGGGTGGACAGTTTAGGGATGTGGAGAGGGGGTCGGTTTGGGAGGATGCTGGTTTGTAGGCAATCTGAGCGTTTCTGCATAGAAATTGTAGAAGAAAACCTAAAGGCATGTGAAAATGTGATCTGTGGATAAGGGAGAAGAAAGGTTAGGGAAATAGGACTCAGAGTGGGAATCTGGTTTTGTAGCACTGATTGGAAACATACCCAAACTCGGCTGCAGTTCTCCCTGCCCAGGGCACAGTCCCCAGCACTTCTTTCTGTTTCTAGCTTCCAGACTTCCCACAGTGAATTTGGGATTGAGATTTTGTTTTCCAGAGCTGAGGATGGAATCCAGGGTCTCTCGCCCTTCAGTGTCTGTCACCGAGCTACATCCCTGCCTCTTCTGGAATCCGATTTCTATAAATATCACAAAAACATTTCAGAAGGTGACTCATCGGCCATTTATTGAGTCCTTATTAAATTCAGTGGTGTTGGGGCCACAAAGAATGCAACGAAGTGGGAGCTACCCCCCGGCCACTCTGGTTATCCTTGAGTTATGGTGCAGGACTGGGACTCTGTGCAAAGATCAGGAACTCTGGAACCAAGCAGACTGATTGGATTCAAGTCTGCTTCCTGCAGCTGTGTGACCAGAGCAAGTGACTTGATCTCTCTGATTCTAGGTTGAGTCATTTGTGGAACAGGGTGACAATGGCACCTGCATGGACTGGTGGAGCTGATCTACCAGGACACTGCCAAGCGTCACCGGCACAAGGCAAAGGAACCTGAGTATCAGCTGCTATGGTTATTAGTGGTTAAGGGCTTGGCCTCTGGAGCCAGCCTGTCTGGGTTCAAATCTTTGCTCAACCTTGGGAATTAATTTCATCTCTGTCTCTACCTCACTTTTCTAATCTGTAAAATGGGGATGAAAGCTATACTGCCTTTTTCATGAGATGATTAAGGGGGATAACTATGGTTTACCCAAGTAACTGTGGGTTGAAATGCTTAGAAAAGAGCCTGACATATACAAAGTGCTCAGGACTCGTTAGTTAACACTAATTCTTATTATCATTACTGTTGGAGAAAACAAAATGGGAGTGAAGAGCAGCAGGATAAACTGGGGAGGGTCATGGGGGAGGGTATGATGTAGGAGGCTCCAGGATGGCCCTAATATCTCTCTCTCTCCCTCCTTCCCTCTACCTCCTCCTCTCCTCTTTCCTCCTCCTCTCTCCTTCTTTTCTTCTCCCCCCCCCCCCTTCTCTTCTCCCCTGTCTTCCAGTCTACACTGTCCTGGTCCTTTAAGTTTTAAAACAAAGCCCCCCCCCCCCCCCCCCCCCCCCCCCCCCCCCCCCCGCCATGTGCTGGTGGCTCACACCTGTAATCCTAACTCCTCAGGAGGTTGTGATCCCAGCTCAAAACCAGCCTGGCCAGGAAAGTCCTTGAGACTCTTATCTCCAATTAATGAACCACCAGAAAACTGGAAGTGGTGCTGTAGTTCAAAGTGGTAGGGCACTAGCCTTGAGCAAAAAGGACTCAGGGACAGCGCTCAGGTCCTGATTTCAAGTCCCACGGCCAAAAAAAAGAAACACACACACACACACACACACAAAACCCCAAACCAAACCAAAACAAAACAAAAACCCACACGAAAGGAGTCACTGATGCCTGGCATGTGTTCCTATCTCCTGATTGGTCCTTCCTGGATTCCAAGATGGCTACCAAGTGACTAACGGGAGAATGGCTGTGAACAGATAATAGAGATACAAAGTAGAGGCTGGGATGCCAAGCATTTCTCCTGCTTTTAGTTCATTCGTGGGCCCAAGGAAGGAGCCAAAGCTTTTTCAGCAAAAGCAGTTTTGAAGCACCGGTTACATGCCCAGCACTGGTGGCTCATGCAGATATTACTTCGGAGACTGAGTACTTGGGGGAGGATTGCAGTTTAAGGCCAGCCCATGTAGAAAAGGTTGAGAGCTCCATTCCCAACCCACAGCTGGTCACAGCACCCATGGCTCTCATCTCAAGCTATGGTAGAGGCTGAGATTGGAGAGACTTAGGTGCCAGGCGAGGCCAGCCTAGCACCAAAATTCTTTGAGACTCTTGCCTGGGTACTGTCCCTGAGCTCTTCAGCTCAAGTGCCACTTCTGGCCTTTTCTGTTTATGCGGTGTTGAGGAATTGAACCCAGGGCCTCATGCATGGGAGGCAAGCACTCTACCGCTGAGCCACCTTCCAGGCCCCTCTTTGAGACTCTTGTCTGGATGAAAACAGAAGCTGGGCTAGCTGGGTGTGTCTGTGATCCTAGCAATTATGGGAAGCCTAAAATAGGTGGATTACAGCTCATGCACTAACTCAGGAGGAAGAAAGACCCTATTCTAAAAATAACAAGTGAAAACCAGGGCTGGAGGTGTGGCTCGATGGTATCTGGTATCAGACACAGTGAACACAAGACCCTGGGTTCAAAGCTTCAGTACTGAAAAAGAAAGAAAGAAAGAAAGAAGCACCTACCACTGTTCACAGTATTTTAAGCCCCTTCTGCAGCCGCTGCCTCCATCATTCTTTGGGTTCGTTAGCTCTGCAAAGAGTGAATGAATGCACATGCCCTGCCTTTGCTTTGTTCTTGAGGAAGGTCAGTGGGCTGCGGTGGAGCAATGCCTTGGCACACAGAGTTGGAAGGCATTATGAAACTTATTTATTTTTGTGCTGGTCCTGGGGCTTGAACTCAGGGTCATTGTTCCTTAACTTTTTCTACTTAAGGCTCTGACTCTGCTACTTGAGTCACAGTTCCACTTTTGGCTTTTTGCTGGTTAATTGGAGATAAGAATCTCATAGACTTTCTTGTCCAAGCTAGCTTCTAACTATGATCCTCCAGAGCTCAGCCTCTTGAGTAGCTAGGATTACAGGCATGAGCCACTGGTGCCCAGCTAAATCACTAAACTTTGATTAGTTCTATCATGTGATTGAGCCTCACCTAATCAGCTGACAATCTTAAAAGGGGGAAGGGGGGACAAGGTCTCCTGAAGAGGAAGGAATTGTGTCTCTAGATCTTCTGCAGACATTTATTCCTGCTGAAAGTTCCAGCCTGCCAGGTTGTCTGGCAAATTATGGACTTGCCAATCCCACAACCACAAGGCTATTCTTAAAATAAATCAAGCTCTCTCTCTCCTCTCTCTCCCTCCCTCCCTTCTTCCCTCCCTCCTTCCCTCTCTCTTTCTCTCTCTCTCTCTGTTGGTCCTTGGCCTGGGCACTGTCTCTGAGCTTGTTTTGCTTGGGGCTAGTGCTCTACTACTTGAGCCACAGCACCACTCGGCTTTTTCTGAGTTGTTTATTGGTGATGTGTCACAAGGACTTTCCTGTCAGGGCTGGCTTCAAACCCTGATCCTCAGATCTCAGCCTCCTGAGTAGCTAGGATTACAGGCATAAGCACCGGTGCCCAACTAACCTCCTTCTTGTTTTGAGACAGTGAGCCATGTGAGAGAATTATCTCTTCAGAAAATAAATACAGGAAATTATGCAAAACAAACTTCTCTGCACTTTGGACTATACTACAAATGGAATTTTAGAGACGCATTTATTTATTTATTTTTTGGATAAAACAAATGGCTGTTATCGATGATCTCAAAAGCAATATTTGTCTTCCGTATCTGCAGCCTCCAGCATAGCCTGTCTTCGGAGTGGCCTGTCTAATGTGGCTGGGGGGGGTGGGAGGGGGGAGGGAAGGGACACAGGGGGAGGGGTGTCAAATGTCTTGGTTTGAGGTTTCTCAGGAAAGAGGGCTGGGGAGGTGACCCCTGGAACAGAACTCATACTTCCACAGCACCCCATACCCCCAAGCAAAAAAAAAATTGCTTTTCCTGGTTAGGAGTTGTTATTATTATTAGTTTTTTAAAAGAAACATTCACGCAAAGCCAGGTGGAAACAGGCTGGACCCGCTGAAAACGCCCGAGTGCTTTGGCTCGGGGTCTCCGTGAGGTAATTAGCTGTTTTTTCCGTGGTGAGTGGGCGGCTCACTCCTCAGGCTCCGGGCGGGGCCAGCAATGATGATGCCATGACAGGCAAGCCCGGGCAAGGCCGCGGCCGGGGCTGGAGAGGCTGGGACTACGGGGCGAAGGCCGGGGTGCAGGGAGAGCCCCTCCATCCTGCTCCCGGGACATCAGGCTCCCCACTCTCCTCCCTCACCCCTGTGCTGTGCCCCTCATTCCCTTCCCCAGAGGGTGGGGGCTGCCAGAGCTCCTGGAGACTCAAGTTGACCCCCAGAACTTGAGGATGTTGGTGGGTGTCTGCAAAGAAACAGATTTTTTTTCATATCACCGGTGACACAGGGCTGGGCGTGAAGCCCCCCCACTCCCAATTATCATTTGGTAGGTTCTGGGAGGGTTGGAAGGCTGGATTGTTTCCTTGTTTTGTTTCGCTGGTCCTGGGCTTTGTCCCTGAGCTTCTTTGGCTCAAGGCGAGCACTCTACCATTTGAGTCACAGCGCCACTTCTGGCTTTTTCTGTGTATGTAGTACTGAGGAATCGAACCCAGGGCTTTATGCATGTTAGGCAAGCACTCTACCATTAAGCCACATTTTTGTTGTTGTTGTTATGATCTAAAATGGTATTAGCTGGGTGCTGGAGGCTCATACCTGTAATCCCAGCTACTCGAGGTTGAGATCTGAGGATGGAAGTTCAAAGCCAATTCTGGGCAGGAAAGTCTGTGAGACTCTTATCTCCAATTAACCACCAGAAACCCAGAAGTGGCACTGTGGCTCGAAGTGGTAGCCTTTAGTAAAAGAGCTCAGGGACAGTGCCCAGACCCAGAGTTCATGCATCACAATATTCCTCCCCCCAAAAAATTAAAGGTATTATCTGTCACCTCTGTAATCCTAGCTCCTCAGGAGGCTGAGATCTGAGGATGGAGGTTCGAAGCTAGCTCAGGCAGAAAAGTCTATGAGACATTTGTCTCCAATTAACCACCAAAAAGCCAGAATAGCTCAGGAACAGCACCCAGGCCCAGGAATGGCACAAAAATAAATAAAATACAATAAATGAATTGTGTTAACTATTGAAAGCTGTATTATGAGGAATAGGCTGACCTCATGCCCCAAGGCAAACAGGCCGTATACTCACACAACGTCAGGAGGCGCTGTGCACCAGAACGGGGCTTAGGGGACCAAGGAGGTGGGTGAGACCTGCTACTCCAGGCAGCGGACAGCTTCAGTGCTTGTGTCTTCTCGTAGCATCTCTGAGTATGGGGGTGGGGGGGGGTTAATCAAAGAGGTTCCTTTCCTCCCCTTCCTCACATTGAAAATCGCTGGGCTGGAGACAAGATAGTTTGTTTCTGGCCTGTGGAAATTCAGAAAGAATTGGCTTTTCCCCTCCGTCTCAGCACAGCTGGGGGAGTCCTGCTCCCCTCCCTCAGATGGAGGCTGAGCCCCATCCCCACGCCACCCCCCACCCAGCAGCCCTCAGGGGCTGGGGCTGCACCTTTGGTAATGAAAGGTCTTTTCTTAGTCAGCCTGCTCCAGGGCCCCAGGGGACTTTCAGATGGATTTGCTGAGCAAAGGATTTTTCTGCGTGCCGGCCAGTGACTCCCAGGCTTTGATGTTGACTAGTTAGTTAAAAAAAAAAAAAATCAAGCTGTGTTCAGAGGAGGAAGTTGGGCCCTGCTGCGGGACTGGGGGGTGGGGGGGCCCCACACTGCTTCTTTGTGTCCAGTTTCCGCTTTGGGAACTGAGAAGGGACCTGGGTCTACCTCACTATTCACTGTCTCTAAAGGAGCGTGGAGGTCATAGATGCCGGGACTGTATGCATTTATTATTATTTTTGATGCCAGTATTGGGACTTGCTGGTCCCTTAGCTTTATCATTCAAGGCTCTGCCCTAGCCTTAAAGCCATGCCTTCACTTCCAGGTTTTTGCTGTTCAAATTGGACATTAAAGTTTCACAGATTTTTCCTGTCTGGGCTGGGTTCCAACCATGATCCTCATACCTCAGCCTCCTGAGTAGCTAGGGTTACAGGCTGAGCAACCAGCACCCAGCCCAAAGGGTTCATTTTGTAGGCACAGAGCCCTAAGTGCAATGTACAAGTGGTAACTGCAGACTTAGCAGGAAGAGATCTGGTTAAAGATGGGGAACAGGGCCGGGTGCTGGGGGCTCACGCCTGTAATTCTAGCTACTCAGGAGGCTGAGATCTGAGGATCACAGTTCAAAGCCAGCCAGGGCAGGAAGGTCCGTGAGACTCTTATCTCCAACAAAACTGGAAGTGGCGCTGTGGCTCAAGTGGTAGAGGGCTCACCTTGAGCTGAAGAGCTGAGGGGACAGCGCCCAGGCCTAGAGTTCAAGCCCTATGACTGATTGAAAAAAAAAAAAAAAAAGATGGCGGACAGGAAGTGGTCGAATCTGCCTTGCTCCCTGCTGTTCTGCATGGCTAGCAGCGCCACTGCAGATTCATGCTCATCTCAGCCCCTGTGCATTGGGAGGGAGGGAAGGGATGGGGTGATTCCAGTGTGAGCAGATGAGCTCATCTTTAGGCCCTTTCTGAACCTCTCGCTGAAGGCAGAGATCTCCAGGCCCTAGGCATGATGTGTATAACCCCTCCACCACTTTGGGGGTCATCAGAAGGCTGGTCTAGCTGGGAAGCCTGTGGGGAGAAGCCTCTTGAGAGGTGTGTGTGTGTGTGTGTGTGTGTGTGTGAGTGAGAGAGAGAGAGAAGAGAGCGAGAGAGAGAGAGCGAGCGAGAGAGAGAGAGAGAGCGAGAGGAGAGGAGAGAGAGAGAGAGAGAGAGAGAGAGAGAGAGTGTTCTGGGCCTTGAACTCGGGCCTGAACACTGTGTCTGAACTTTTGTGCTCAAAATTGGAGAGAAAAGTCTCTCACGGACTTCTTGCTAGGGCTGACTTCAAACTGCAATCTTTAGATTTCAGCCTTCTGGGTAGCTAGGATTGCAGGTATGTGTGATTGGGATTGGCTGTCCTGGGAAACTTTCAAGGCCAGCTCCTAGGACTATTTTTTCAAGTATGATGGTATCTGCTACCTTTGGGTGCTTGTGGCTCTTCTGCAAAAAGACAACCCCCATAATGTGTTCAAGGCTTGATAATTACGAAAGAAACACATAGCTAACAGGATCAAACCCAAAGTCTTCCTCTGGCTATAGATTCCAGGGGAACCCCAGAAACTCGGGGTCCAGTACGCATACAACACCCTACAGGATCACAGGAAATATGGCCGTCACCCCAGATGTCCATGGCATAGACGGTGTAACCGGTTACCCAGAAATGGCTGCATAAACTTGTAATCACATGTTGGTGCCTAACAAACCATATCAAAATACACAGTGGCACCAGGTGCCCGTGGCTCATGCCTGTAATCCTAGCTACTCAGGAGGCTGAGATCAGAGGAAAGCAGTTCGAAGCCAGCCTGGGAAGACAAATACGAGAGACTCTTATCTCCAATTAACTAGTAAAAATCTTCAAGTAGAGGCGTGGCTCAAATGGTAGAGCATCAGCCTTGAGCAGAAAAAGCTCAAGGGTGAGTTCAGGCCCCAGTACCGGCAACCAAAAACAGAAAACATAGTGGCATGGGTTCTAGCCCCAGTACCGAAAGAAAAAAGGAAACAAACAGCTCAGCTGTAATCAAAACCATTCATTTGCTCTCAGTTTTATATTGTGGGGACTTATCTGCTCTCCATGCGGCATTAGCCAGGGAAATTTGATTGTACCAGATCAGTTTCCAAGATGGTCTCCACATGGTGGCCTAGATGCTGCCAGCCACTGTGGGTGATTTCTCCCAGCCTGAGCTGAAATTGCTGGTCGTCAGGCTCAGATTTGGCTACAGACTCCCTCTCCAGTCCCAGCCATTTGTTCTCTGTAGAAGTTGGGGCATAGGGGTGTGTGTGAGGAGCAACTGGCTGGTAGTGCTTACAGCTGAGTCCTGATAGTGATGCTTACAGCTGAGTTCCTCTGCTGCTGGTGCTTATAGCTAAGTCCTTCTGGTGATATATATAGTGGAGTTCTTCTTTGGGACTCAACCTTGGATAAAGGCACTCTCTGCCTAAGGGCCCATTCCCCCTGCAGTAGGGGAAGCCACATCAGAAGACTATGAAGTGGTCCTCTGTCAGTCATCTGGATCCATCCATGCCAGAGCTCCCTGTCCAGCTCCACATAAGCTGAGACGTCTGTAGGGTCTCTGGTCTCTGTCAGCGCCATTCTTCTTTCTGCCACACTGTTTCCTTTATACCCAGATGCTCGTGGATGACAGATGCACCCTCTCCCCACAATAGCCATCCTTCAAATGAAATCTGTACTTCCTGCATTTTCTGGGAAGCCTGACTGAGGAACTCACGAAGGTTAAGTGATTTCGTGGAGTCCTGAGGAATCCTTTTCCTAGGCACAGTGACTTCTGGGTGCCGGGCTAAGCCCTTTGCTTACGTGATCTTACTTCATGAAGATCAGAACTTCATGCCAAAGGAATGGGTTTCTAAGGATGATGTCTCAGCTTTAGGTGGGAGGTTGGTGGGGGTGGGGCTGCAAATTTGGTCACCAATTTTTCTTTCTTTTGCCAGTCCTGGAGCTTGAACTCAGGGCCTGGGCACTATCCCTGAGCTTCTTTTGCTCAAGGCTAGCGTTCTACCACTTTGGGCCACAGCCCCACTTCCGGCTTTTTCTGTTTATGTGGTATTGAGGAACCGAACCCAGGGCTTCATGCATGCTAGGCCAAGCACTCTACCACGGAGCTACCTTCCCAGCCCCTCACAAGTTTTTCTGTGATACCCTCTGGTCAGTCCTGGTCCTGGCGCCAGTGGGAAAAAGCCCCCGCTCTCAGGCCAGGGCTCCCAATCACCTTCTATAAAAGCAAGTGGTCATGAATAGGATTGTTCTGCTTTTTCTGTGAAGTCTCCCTTGTTGGGAGCGCCTGTGAGGTGATTTCTCTGAAGGCCGGCTTGCCTTGTGTGGACTCCCCAGAGCCTTTCTCAGAACTGCTACCATTGTCCCCACTTCCTCTCCCTTCCTGAGTAGCTTGCACACAGAGCACTCACCATCAGCGCTGTCCTTCTGGCCTCAGCTCCTGTCACCTGGCTCCTCGGTCCTCTTCATCTCCGTCGCCCAGGTGGCGGGAACTGCCAGGACCCTCCTGCTGCCCTCACCCCAGGCTCAGTCTCTGTCCATCCTTAGATACCTCCTTCTGGAGCATGCCCAGGCAGCAGGCTGCGGCCAGGACTTGCCCTCTGGTCCTTGGGAACAAGTCCTAACATGCCTAGCTGAGGAGCAGAGGAGGCCGGAAGGCTACTTCACCCAGGGGACCCCACCCCCCCAGTCCTGGGAGGCCTTGGCCCATGTTCTTCTGTGGACACAAAATGGTGATTTTCAGGTTGTTTGGGGGCAGGCTAGGGACCTGGGGTATGTGACGAGTATGTGTGTCATGTGTCTGTCTCTGAATGTGTGGTGTATGGATGTGCATGTATAAGTATGTCTCTGTGTATGTCTGTATGTGTGGCTGTGTGTCTCTATGTGTGTGTTTTATGTCAGTGTGAGCATCTCTGTATATGTATATATGTATGCCTACATGTGTATGCACTTGTCTGTGTCTGTGTGTCTGTCTGTCTACATGTGTATCTGTGTGTGTGTGCTTGTGCGCATGTGTGCGCACTTGAAGTCAGAAGGGCCTTCGGCTCCCTTGCCCCCTCAGGGCTGATGTCCTGTCTGGAGCGTGTGCCTAGCCCATGGTCAGTGCGTGTGCATGTGCACGGCTGCAACATTAAAAAAAAACAACACAGTAAAGAAGAGATAGTAAGTGCTTCATAATATTTGCTTGAATACTTTTGTGGTGTAGTGGGGACCCAGAAGTTATTTTAAAAATGGACTTCCCAACCTTAGCAACAACAAAGAATTACTTCACTGTGAAGCTCAGGACCATAAAATGTCAAATAACTCACCACAAGCCTTCATTAAAAATGTGTTTTCCAATAAAAAATGTAATAAAAAAAATGTTTTCCCCGCAAAGTAAGCAGTCAGACAATGTCAAGCCTATTTGAAATGCCTGCAGGCCAAGAGAGGACTAGCACAGCAGGAGGGCTTGCCTGGGGGCAGGGGGGGGGGAGGAGCTGGGGTGGGCAGGGTGGGCAGGGTCCCTAGCCCAGATCCAGGCCCCTGCTTAGAGCCAGGAGGGCCAAGGATGGGAGACAGGTTCTTCCCAGCCATCCCCCCCCCCCCCCCCCCCCCCCCCCCCCCCGCCCAGGCTCCATGCTCCGCAGATCAGGCCGGTCCTCCCTGAGGTCAGCTGCATTAGAGGAAGAACGCTGGGCATGTCTGGGCAGAGATTTCCAGACAGCTCGAGCCTCAGCTGTCAGAAACTGTAGCCACCCCAAAGCCAGATTCTATTTCTATTTTGTGACATTTCTTTCAGACGAACACATCATTGACTATAATGTTCTTTTTTATTAACTTTGTTTCCCCCTGGGACAAGGTCTCACTATTTAGTCCAGGCTTGTCCTTGAACTCACCATCCTCCTGCCTCAGCCTCCATGGGCTTCTGCCACTTTTTTTTTTTTTTTTTTTTTTTTCTGTTGTGGGCTTGAACTCTGGGCCTGGGCACTGTCCCTGAGCTCTTCAGCTCAAGGCAAGCACTCTACCACTTGAGCCACAGTACCATGTCCAGTTTTCTGGTGGTTCATTGGAGATAAGAGTCTCACGGAATTTCCTGCCCAGGCTGGCTTTGAACCACGAACCTCAGATCTCAGCCTCTGGAGTAGCTAGGATTACAGTGTGAGCCACTGGCCCCCAGCTTCTGCACCATTTGAAAAGCAAAAATTGTCCATTTGAAGAGGAGGGAGGAGGCAAAGGTGAGCAGAGACAGTGGAGGTGTATGGGTCCTCCACTTCTGCCTGTCAGGAGCATCAGGGGGACACTTCTGGAACTGCCCTTTGTCAATGTCATCCCTCTAAACTGCCTGGAAAGGAGGGGGTGGGGGCTGGGCTTTTTTCTCCCTCTGAAAGGCACCGGAATGGAGAACAAGCAGAGAGCTCTAGGCAGGATGCAAAGGACCGGCCCCAACTTTCACTTGCTGTGCTAGCTCAGTCAGATCACAGGACTTCTCTGAGCCTCCTTCTATGTGAGGGTACCCTGGAGAGAACTGGGTCCCCAAATTGGTCTCACTTCCCTTTCTCTCAGGCCTGCTGGCTTTGTCCTGGCTGAGGTGAGGGAGGTGGGGTTGGGGAGGAGGGACGGGGCGACTGGTTCCCAGGTCTGCTCCTCATTTTCCCTGGAGGATCACCGTGGTGGCTCTGAGCACTGGGCCCCAACTCCTCCTTCGCTTCCTTGAAAGCAGCCCTTTCACTTGTGCTAGCTGCGTGGGCCTCAGTTCCCCCTCCCGTGAGATCGGGGATTGATCAGCCCCAGAGGTGCTTTGTGAGGGTGTCTGTGAACCCCAGATGCCTTGTGATGCACCAATGGCTTATTCTAGAAATTGCTCAGTCAGGAGCACTTTTTTTAAATATTGGTGGACTTTTACTTATTCATGTCTTCCCTCTCTCTCTATTCAGTGGCGTCTGGTGGGCCCGGGAGTCTGAGGGGACAAGTCAATTCCCAAGAAGGAAAATGCAGAAAGGCAGATTTGGGGTTTGGGGTTGCAGGTGTGGAGATCAGGGCCAGCACATCGCGGGGGGGGGGGGGGTTGGGGGAGGGGGAGGGTTGGGGGAGGGCTAGGGGGGGTTGGGGGAGGGCGGGGGGGGGGGGAAGGTTCCCGACCCGCGGGAGCGGCTTCCCGGGCACCGGGTGCGGTGCGGAGAGGCCCGTCCTACCCGGGGGGCGTGGCCTGTTTATAAGCGAGGCGCCTGGTCCCGCCTCCTGGCGTGGCCGATGTGTTTGAGGCTTCGGGTCTCCCCGGGGGCGTGGCCTGTGCATACGAGACATCAGGCCCCGCCTCCAGGGGCGTGGCCGAGGCTTTAAGTGCGCGGTGCGCTGGGCGCAGCCGGTGAGTGAGCAGCTGGCGAGCTGGGGCTTGGAGTGGCCGTAGTCGCGCGCGCCCCGGATTCACCCCGAACAACTGAGACCTTGGAGCAGGTGAGGGCACGGGACGCAGCAGCCTGGGCCGCGGCTCCGGGCGGCGCCCCGCGGGTCCCTGTGTGTCCGCGTACGGGGCGGGGGGGGGGGTCCTGGGATGCCGCGTCCGCGCGGTGTCACAGGTGTTCCCGCGGCAGGTGAACGACGGGCGTGGGTCCGGCGCGCTGGGTGTGCGCCCGCGGGCGTGGGTTGGGTGACGGTCACCGAGCCCCCTCACCCTGGGGGATTCGGCGGCGACCGAGGGATCAGGAGTCGGAGGGATCTCCAGTTCTACTCGGCGGCTCTTGAGACCCCGGAGGGCGAGGGGCGGCGCGGAGCGGGCCGGCCGGGAGATCCGAGGGGGGGCGCCGCTCGGTCGAGGCGTGGGGACCCGGGGGGACCCGGAGTGATGGGGGACGCGGAGCAGAGCAAGTTCATCGGGGACCCGGATCGGCCCTCGGATCCAATCGGCGCCGCCCGGGCCCCGGCCCCTGATGTCCAGGTGCCCTGGACCGCGGTGTCCTCCACCCCGCTGGGCGCTGAGGTCAGCGCGGGCTGTGTCCCGGCCCTCGGGAACGTGCCAGGACACGTCCCCGAAGGGCACACGAAGGGGTGACTCACTGTGACCAGGGGACCCTGGGATCGGACCCCCGCCGCGTTCGGGGCGCCAAGGCACCCCCGAAGTCCCCTCCCTGCCCCGCCTGGGTCTCGGCGGGCCCCTCCCTCCCCGTCAGCACAGTGACCTATTTGGCTGGCACAGCGCGTTCCCAGGGAAGTCGGGACGCTGGGAGGTCCCGGGCCGGTGTCCGGTCCCCCTCGGCGCGCCCTCGGGGACGACGCTACTCCGCGGCGGGAGCGGGGCGGGTCCCGCCGGCCTGCCTCGGGGTGCGCAGGGGTCCCGCCCACCCCGCCCCGGGTCGGCGAGGCGCGGGGGTCCAGGGCTGCGGCGGCGATCACCCGGCCGAGCGGCACCGGAGCGGGGGGTGGGGGTGGCGGCGGCGGCTGGGGTCCGTGCGGGGTGGGGGGATTCGGGGCGCCCCGACCTAGCGCGCCCCGCCTGCCGGCAGGCTGAGCGGAGCCGGACGACGAGTCGCTCCTTGGGTGCCGGCGCCCCGCGCAGATCGGGGCGCACCCGCCCCGTCGGGAGCCCCCCCGGGGACACTCGCGCCTTCTGATTGACAGCATTGTTACTCAAAAGAACCTCAGGACTGGATTTGGCATTTTGGGGGCGCCCGGGCCGCTTCCTGTCTTGGCGCCACCCCCCTCCCCCCCCACGTCGGGTTTCTGGGAGGACGGACCCTCGAGCGGTTCTGTTTTCGTTGCTCCCGTCTATTTTTATTTTCCAGGGATCTGAGTCATCCCGGGCTTTCGGGCGGGAGATAGGTGGGGGGGGCCCGGGCTCCGCGCGCCTGGGCGTGCCCGGGAGGGCGCTCTGCTCTCGGGAGCGCGCGCGCGCGCGCGGTGTGTACGTGTTCGCCCGCGGGCGCGCGCGTGTATGTATGCGCCCGAAGGCGCGCGCGTGTGTGAGCGAGCGTGAGCGCGCGCGGTTTCCCAACCCGGCGGGAGTTTCGGAAGCCGCGCTGGCTCAGCGTGACGTGTTCCAGGCCCGGCCCCTCCCGCCCGCGCCCCCTCCCCTCCCGGCTGGCCCCACCCCAGGGTGACGCGCCGCCCGCCCGAGTGGAAGCACGGTTTTGGCGGGCGGCAGCGCCCCGCAGGAAACTGACTCATCCCGCGTCGCGCGGTGTCAGGCGCTGCCCACGCACCTCCCACCCGCGCGATTTCCTGGAGCCCGGCGCCCCCTCCCGGCCTCGGCGGGAGCTGCAGCCCGCCTGCGCCTCCGGGGAGGCCCCGCCCCGAGGAGCGGCGCACCCGGCTCCCCGCCCCCCCGCGCCGCCTTGGGTGCTGGGGGCCCCGGTTCCGGGCTTTGCGCTTGCCAGTCTCCGGTATTGGGGACTACAGTGTGGCTGAAGCCAGCAGAGGGGCCCGCGCAGGCTCCGTCCCGGTGCCGGGCTCGTGCGGAGGGGTGCGGGAGGGCGCCCCGTGAGGGCGGGGAGCACCCTGTGGAGGAGACCTGAGGATTCCTGCCCCGTGCGGGTCCCATCCGCGCCTAGAAGCCCGGGAAGAGAGGATCCAGCTCCTGGATCAAGCCCTCCCTGACGCCTCCTCCTCCTCTTGCCTGGGGGGCATGGAGCCCCCGCCTCCGTGTGCCCCCTCCAGCACCTCAGAAAAGCCCACTGGGGAAGTGCACAAAATCCCCTTCCCACAGGGTTCCACTGACGGGCGGGGGGGGGGGCAACCAGACTACCCATTTGATTTGTTCCTGTGGTGCTGGATCGGACCCAGCGCCCTGTCCAGTCCACGAGCCACCGGAACGATGGACCCGCATTCTTTCTTTTCATTTTTGTCGTGTGGGGCTTGAACTCTGGGTCTGGGCGCTGTCCCTCAGCTCTTCAGCCCAAGGCGAGCGCTCTACCACTTGAGCCACAGCACCACCTGTATTTTAGGTGATTAATTGGAGATAAGAGTCTCGTGGACTTTCCTTCCCGGGGATGGCTTTGAACCTCGATCCTCAGATCTCAGCCTCCTGAGTAGCTTGGATTACAGGCGTGAGCCACCGCTGCCCGGCTGGGCTTCCTCCTTTTTGTTTTATATTTTATTTTTGAGAGAGGCTTTTGCCGATTCTGCTCTGGCTGGCCTGGAACTGGAATTCCTAATTGCTTAGAACAGCAGTGGCTCCTGCACTGAAGCATAGAAATGTCCCAGCACGGGTGAGGATGGTGGGCGGAGGTGACTTGGGGGCCTTGTCCATGTAGTGGACTTATCCCTTTTGGTCCTGTGATTTAGGGCCAGTCTCCTATCTTTTCCTGGCCTGCCCTTTAATCCTATCTGGGGCCAGCCTTCCTCTCTTCCCTGCCAGTTGAGAGTTGGCTCCTAGGAGGGGGCGGTGTGTGTGTGTGTGCCCCAGGGGCCTGTCCCCAGCGCAGTCCTGTCCCATCTGAGGTCATCCAGCGCTCAGCCTTGGGCCAGGGCAGGGCCTGCAGACACCAGCTCCTGGCCACGTTCCCTCACTTTTTTCCCTTTTCGTGGAGTGGAAGCCCAGTCACTTCTCATTTTCTGTGTCTGTGAAACTGGCTCCTTGGGCACATGGGGGGAGGACAGGGCCTGGGAGGTGTCTAGACTTCTGATCACCTGATATGGGTGGCAGGATGTGGCTCAGCTGGTGAGCAGATCATTGCCCTGCCCTGCCCAGCCCCTCTCCTCCCCTCCCCCCCCCCCCCCATGACACCCTTGGGAAAGGCCCTCACCCTCAGCACCTGTCAGCTGCTGTCTGGGGAAGGAGATGGTCTGGGAAAACAGAAATAACGCTTCTACTTTCCAAGCTCTTCTGCTGCCCCCATCCCCTCTCCAACGGTCACCCTGCGCAGCCTCACCTCTGCACCCATTTTACAGAGGAGGCAAATAAAGCCCAGAGATGTTAAGCCACCAGGGCCACCCAGCAGAGCCTGGATTCAATCCAGGCAGTCTGGCTCTGAATCCACTGGGACCCTGCTGCCCCTCTACCGTCTTCCGGTCCGCCTTGCCCCGTTGGCCTGCATCAGCCTTGTTTCTTACTCTATTTTTGGTAGTATTGAGATTTCAATTTAGTAGGGCGTGGAGCTGGAAGATACTCTTTGATTTGAGCCTGGCCTCCTTTGTTTTTCAGATGGGGCCTCCTGCTGTTCTTTTTGCTGGGATCTCTTCCACCTCTGCTCCTTGAGTAGCTAGCATTACAGACGTGTACTACTACGCCTGGCTACAGCTGTGCCCTTTAAACTCCCATAGGCCCATTTATAGATGAGGCCACTGAAGCCAGAGACCTGAAGCGTCCTTGCTAAAGTTTGGGGAGTACAGAGCCCAGCTGAGGATTTGGGGGAGCTTTTGATTTTGCAGGGCAGGCCGGCGCCCCGCGTGTGGGCAGCTGGGCGGACTGTGTTGGGAGGGCTGCAGGAGGAGCAGCTGTGGTTCATCACTGGGCTCTTTGGAAAGTTGTTGACCTCTTGTCCAGGAAGCTGGCCATTCCCACGTGTTCGGGGCATTGACATGTAAATGGCTACCTCCGGGAGAAACGGACTTTGGCTGACAACACCTGTTGGGCTTGCCTTGTTCAGGCATCTGTGCCCTTCAGCTGTGACCTTGGGGAGCTGGGCTGGCCAGGCAGGCCCCTGCCCCACCCCCACCCCGAGTCTGTTGGTCCTGCCAGAAGAGCAAGAGAGACCCAGGCAGCAAGCACCCAGCTCCGTTCCCCCCATGACCCGGCCCTCCTTGTCTCCACCACAGGCGCCATGTCCCAGAATTCCAGGGACCCCCGCCCCGTCCCGCACCGCAGCAAGGCCTGTCGCTGCCTCTTCGGGCCCGTGGACAGCGAGCAGCTGCAGCGAGACTGCGACGCCCTCATGGCCAGCTGTCTCCAGGAGGCTCGAGAGCGGTGGAACTTTGACTTCGTCACCGAGACCCCCCTGGAGGGCGACTTCGCCTGGGAGCCCGTGCGGGGCCTGGGCCTGCCCAAGATCTACCTGAGCCCCGGGACCCCGGGCGACCTGGGAGGAAGCAAGCGGCCCAGCACCTCCACCGCCCTGCTGCCGGCCACCGATCAGGAGGACCACGTGGCCCTGTCGCTGTCCTGTGCCCTCGTGCCTCGCTCTGCCGAGCTGCTCGACGGTTCCCCGGCTGGGCCTGGAACCTCTCAGGGCCGAAAACGACGGCAGACCAGCATGACAGGTGAGGACAGGTACCGGGAAGGGCCGGGCAAGGGACTCCCAGGATCCCTGGCCTCGGGGATGACCTATCAGGTCCAGCTTGTACCTTGGATAGAGGGAAATGGGGCCCAGAGCAGGGAAGCAACTGTCCTGAGGTCACACAGCAAGACCAACCAGCTAACACTTAAGTGAGTTTATTTTGTCCTTAGAGCAGTCCCGTGTCCCTTTTGCCACCCTTTTATTATTATCACACAATACCAATTCCCCCCTGAGAGAGCGCCTAGCTCCACAGGTTCCTGCCTACACTTAGCCACGTGTCCCTTTGTCCCTGGGGAGGGGTAGTCCCCAGCCTTGCTGACCCGCTTCTGTCTCCACAGATTTCTACCACTCCAAACGCCGGCTGATCTTCTCCAAGAGGAAGCCCTGAGCCGCCCTCTGGAAGCTTCTCGCTCCACTCCCGCCGGCCCCGCCCCTTCGGACCTCCTGCCTTCTTCCTCACTTTGTGCGTCTTAATTATTATTTGTGTTTTAATTTAAACTCCCTCGTGTATATACCCGGCCCTCCCGCCAGCCTCTGGCATGCGTTATTTAAAGAGAAAAGCATTAGGCCGTAGAATGGATTGTTCAGAGGGCTGGCGGTTTTTTTTATTCAATGATATATTATTTAAATCCCTCTCTTCCCAGATGCTCCCCCCCCCCCCCACCTCCTGGGTGCTCAGACCTGAATTCCTTTGCATTTGAGAAGTAACTAGGTAGCACTTTGAAAAGGCCCGGCCAGAGTAGGGATGGTGTCCGAGTCCCTGGCGCCCCTCACCTCCCGTAGGTGGAGCGCAGTGACACAGGCTGGGGACCAGGGACATGGGCCTGGCCTAGCCGCCACACCCCCTGCGGCCTTCGAAGGCAGGGAACTGCCAGGTCCTGGAGCAACCCCCCACGCCCACCTCAAGCCCCTTCTGCCCCAGTGTTTGAGCCTTCCTCCCTGTGGGCTCCAAGCCTCCTTTTTTTGGGGGGCCCCCAGCTGTCCCCCTTCCACAGCTGGCTCTCAACGCCCCCTGCTGCTCCCCCCCCCCCCCCCCCCCCCGTCTTTCCTCCTCCCCATCCCTCCCCCTCCCCTCCAGCCCCTCTCAGCTGTGGATGGCATCTCTGAGCACTCTCCCCCCCATCCCCCAATGGACTGGAGGGGAAAGGTCACCCAGAAAGTAGTGCTCCCCACTTGTACCTCAGGCATCTGGAGCAGCCATGGCCACCTCCTCTTTTAAGCTCTGGGGTTCGAGCCCTGGGGGAGCGGGCCTCCTGGGATGGACCCCCAGAGTCCTGAAGTCATCTGTGATCTCCTGCTCTACCCCGCGCCATGGCACTTTGAGTAGCAGTGGAACATGGCGTCGGAGGCCCGGGGAAGGCGTGCGCAGCAGGCCCACAGGAGCTGCGGGGTGGGTGCTGTCATTCCCAGCACTGAACACTGACCCTCCCACCCCCAGAGGCACCAAAGCACTTAGTGGGTCTGACCCCCAGCCCCCTCCAGCTCCTGAGGTGCTGGCCTGGCCCGCGCCCTCGACGGCTGCCTTCCTCCCAGCCCCACCCACAGTGCTGGCTGTACGCTCCCATCCAGCAGGTGCTTAATAAACGTTTCTTTTTGACTTGCCATATCACTGCTGTGGTCTTTCTGTTCCCACAGTTATGAAAACAGATAGAAGGTGTGTTCTTGGAAGTCGGTTGTATTCCTTATATTTATTTTTGTAGGTTGTGAGGCTTGAACTCTGGGCCTGGGTGCTGTCCCTCAACTCTTCAGCTCAAGGCAAGCCCTCTGCCACTTGAGCCACAGCGCCACTTTTGGTTTTCTGGTGGTATATTGGAGATAAGTATCTCAAGGACTTTCCTGCCCCGGCTGGCTTTGAACCTTGATTGTCAGATCTCAGCCTCCCGAAAAGCTAGGATTACAGGCATGAGCCACCAGTGCCCAGGTGTAAATTTATTTTTATTATTAAGGTGTTATACAGAGAGGGGTTACCAGTCCATAAGTCAGGTCATGAGTACGTTTCATTTTAGACAATCCTTGGTTTTCCCCCAGTTTCCCCCCTCCCATCTCTGCCCACAAGTTACATAGTTTCATTTTGTTACACAGTGTCCACTGAGTACCTGCGCCTTGTTTGTTGTGCTCATTTAAAAAATAAATGTGAAGGGCTCAGCACTGATAGCTCAATGTCGAGTTCAAGTGTTTTGAACTCAGGGCCTGGGCACTGCCCCGACCATTTTTTTCCCTCAAGGCTGGCACTTTACCACTTGAGCCACAGCTTCACTTCTAGCTTTTTGGTAGTTTATTAGAGATGAGAGTCTCATCGACTTTCCTGCCTGAGCTGCTTTGAACTGAGATCCTCAGATCTCAGCCTCCTAGGTAGCTAAGATTACAGGCATTAGCCACCAGCACCCAGCCGTACTTGTGGTTTTAACCTAACACGGTAGATAAGTAAATACAAAGCAATTTCAAAAACAAAAGTTTATGTCACTGTGCTTGCATTCCTCAGCTCAGTTGTGATGGAGCTGTCAATCATTCTGTGGTGTCTGATTTTCCCAACTTAAAATTTGCAACAATGCAAGAATTTTTACTCCATCATTTAACTTGAGCACATCAGTTTTTACCTTTTGTTTTGTTTTTGTCAGTCGTGGGGCCTGAGCTCTGGGCCTGGGTGCTGTCCCTCAGCTCTTCAGCTCAAGGCTTAGTGCTCTACAATTGAGCCACAGCACCACTTCTGGCTTTTTCTGCTTATGTGGTGCTGAGGAATTGAACCTAGGGCCTCATGCATGCAAGGCAAGCACTCTACCACTGAGCCACCTTCCCAGCTCCATTTTTACCTTTTTTTTTTTGGGGGGGGGGGTCCGTTCGTGGGGCTTGAACTCTGGGCCTGGGCGCTGTCCCTCAGCTCTTCAGCTCAAGGCTAGCACTCTACCACTTGAGCCACAGCGCCACTTCCGGCTTTTTTTCTTTTTGCTTATATGGTGCTGAGGAATCGAACCCAGGGCCTCAGGCATGCAAGGCAAGCACTTTACCACTGAGCCACCTTCCCAGCCCCTTTACCTTATTTTTGAGGAGGCAGATGTTTTTTTTCACAAAATAAAGGGCAGGGAAACCCAATTTCACAACACAAGGTTCCCAGGGATATCCAGGCAAGTCTCAGTAGGACACTTTCCCCAGCAAAGTCCTAAAGCAAGGGGGAGGGGCTCGGGCCTGTGCACTCTGTCTCTTGCAGATCACCATCTTTATAATCAGATCCTGAAGCTGATTTTTGGTATGTCCTGCCTTTGGGCCCTGAAGTAATGAGTGTCTGTTAAACCGCTGTTGTGGAATTCTATCTTGTGCATCATGCTTCATATGGGGCCGATCCTCTTGGAGGCTTCTAGCAAAGGCCACCAACACCACAGCTTCATCCTTACCATTGTATCCTTCAAGCCTTAACATCTCTTGCACCTAGCATTGTTCCTCCACTGCATTCGTACCTTGTCTCTGTCCCCAATACCCGCCTGGCTAAGGCTTGGCTTGGATCAGATGCTGCCGCCATGCTCACCACCAACATTTGTGTTCTAATTGTCTAGTCACTGGTGAGCAATCCCTGACTTCCTGCCATTCCTGGTGCCAACTCTCTTAGTTGTTGTGGTGGTTGTTTTTCTCTCTGAGACAAGGACTTGGTGTGCAGGAGATCTTTAGGGTGTATTTCGTGGACACTCAGGCCGGAGTGTAGCGAGCATGGGAAAGGAAAGGGAAAGCCAACAAAGGTGCCAGGGAGCAACTTCTGTGGGTGCAACTGAAGCTCACACCTGCAGTGACTTCTGGGAAAGCACATGGAGCGGACCTCCTGGGACCTCCTGGTATTGTCTGTTGAGGGCACTTAACCAGGTGTGTGTGGGGGGAGGGGGGGACGTGTCTATGGGACACTGAACCCTGCAGCTGTGGGGGTGCCCCAAGGGCCTGCTGCAGGCTCCCTAACACTGTCCGTGCTTGCGGGGAGCCAGGGAGGGAGGGAAGGTGGGAAGGTGGATGGGGATGAGGCGTCCACGGTGGCAGCAGTCAGGATCTGATCTCCAGAAGAACTTCCTGGCGTTGGCTCTTTTTGCTCCCGCCCAGTGCCCAGCAATGGGGGCTTCCGGAGGGAGGGCAGGTCTTGGCCCCTCTCCTTCCTTCACTGCTAGATTCCAGCATCTAGATAGAAAGTGCTAGTGCCTTGTGGAGGTTCAGTGATCATTTGTCATGGCTTGAATCTCCTGAGCTGACCAAATTGCTCTCTGTGCCTGCTCCATTCCTACCTACCTCACCCCATCCTGGTGCCCCGGGCACTGGCCCTGCCCTTCATGACTGGACCCCTGGGCCGTCCGTCCCTTACACCGCCTCCCCCATCCCCAAAGCTCTGTGTAGCCTCCATGGCTTCCCTAGCAGCCTTCCACATGGCACTGTTTTCCCTCCGGGCCCCAGATCAGGCACCCAGGCCCTGCCCTACCCAGCCCTAGAAAGTGTCCATCCAGGAGTGAGATCCACACAGGGCTGCAGGTCATGCTGCCCCCTGATAAACCAGAAAGCAGAAGCATCGCAGCTGGGCGACAGGTTCTAAGCAGAGGCTGTGGGGCCCAGCCTCATGCTCCACAGACCCTGGTCCTTCATGATGAGTTTTCTCAATGATCTGGAAATAGCGCCACCCAGGGAGCCTCTAGCTGAGCTCCAAGGTGCCCACTCTGCCTCCTCCCTACTCCCCCCCCCCTCCCCCCCCCCCCCCCCCCGCCACCCCAACTGATGATTTCTTGCCTCATGGTTGACCCAAACTTGTAAATTCAAGCAGCTATAGGGAGTTGAAAATTAGTGAATATGAGAACTTTTCCACTTGTCCATGGCTTGCTTGCTTATCAATTTTGTTTTTAGAAAATCTTTTTTTTTTTTTGTCAGTCGTGGGGCTTGAACTCTGGGCCTGGGCGCTGTCCCTGAGCTTTTCAGCTCAAGGCTAGTGCTCTACCCCTTAAGCCACAGCACTACTTCCGGTTTCCTGCTGGTTCATTGAAGAGTCTCATGGACTTTCCTGCCTGGGCTGGCTTTGAACCTCGATCCTCAGATCTCAGCCTCCCGAGTAGCTAGGATTACAGGAGTGAGCTACTGGCGCCTAGCCTAGAAAAATCTTCATTCTTGAGCTAAGTGTATTGAAGTCCAGCAATACTGTGCTTCTAAGAGTTCTGCTGTTTCCGAAACTCTGCATCCAACCTGCTCCTAGCAGCTGGGTGTCCAGCCAGGCCAGCTTTCTCCCCTGGCGCAGGTGGCCAGGGCGGGCGAGGCCAGCTGTGCCCTCACCTCCAGGACTCAGGATGTGGGGACACCTTGCCTGTTCTGCACCCCTTCTATCTCCAGGGAGGGAGCTAAGCCTGGGGCGGGGGTGGGGGGCAGGCAAATGATGCCTTGAGAACCTGGGGTTGGAGTTGAAAAGTCCAGCTCCACTCTCTTCCCAGAGAAGTGGAGAGACGAGGCCTCCATGCTACTCACGACAAAAACAGGCCTCTCGTGGCCCATCGGTCACGCGCGCTACTTCTGCCCTATCTTCTACTCTTCCCTCCTCAAAGTGCTCCAGCCTCCTGCTCTCCCAAAGCACATTCCTGCCTCAGGACCTTTACACACACTGTTCCCTCCCCATCCATGAGCATTCTTTTTCCAGATAGTCTTCTTCATGAGTTTGAGAGAGTCAAGCAGGGATTGAACTCCAGGACTTGTGTTGTTTTTCTTTTTTTTTTCTTTTTGTCGGTCGAGGGGCTTGAACTCTGGGCCTGAGCGCTGTCCCTCAGCTCTTCAGCTCAAGGCGAGCACTCTACCACTTGAGCTATAGCACCACTTCCGGTTTTCTGGTGGTTTATTGGAGATAGGAGTCTCACGGTCTTTCCTGCCCGGGCTGGCTTTGAACTGCGATCCTCAGATCTCAGCCTCCTGAGTAGCTAGGATTACAGGCGTGAGCCACCAGCACCCTGCTGTTTTTTCTTTTTGTTTTTGATTTTGGTGTTTTGTTGGCCAGTCCTGGGGCTTGAACTCAGGGCTTGAACCTGTCC